TTTGCATTTTGACCTCAGTCTGAAGGGACACTGATTCGGGAAGACATTTAAACTCACACCTCAAAACTTGCATTGCTCAAACTTGAGAAATATTATCAGCTTTTTAGCAACAATTTGTTTTCTGTAACACAATAAAACATTAGCCATGCAGAGCGACAGGTCATCCTCTGCCAGCCAGTGATGCTTAGCTGTGAATTATCCTGACATTAGTCAAACCTGAGAGCAGCATTTACAGTTAATAGGCTCATTGGCTACTGGAACAATAGTTAAAGCAGGTTACTTGAAAATTATTTGCTTCCATTGCAAGTAACATTCAAGATAGATTTTGTTTTTACTTTAGCAAACTAAATATGATCAAGCAGAGACTATTTTGTAAGTGTATTGAAATATAGATCTTTTCAACCTTATGTGTGGATTTATATATCTACAATAAGCATATATTAATTAACACCAGTGTGAGTGTGAATAACTTTATCTATCAGAAGATGACCTCTGACTGTGAGTTAAAAACTGCTAATAAAAAAATGTATGAGTTTGGCTAGTGTCATTGTAATATGTAAACGTTGTAAAGTAAGCAGACATGAATATCAGACTCTACAGGTCAGGGTTTGGACAGCAGCGAATATAGCTGCCATGGGCCCCAGATGCTGTTCCAAATTAAAAACAATCATGGCAACCATTTATCAATAATCAAGACTGGCCTTTTTTTTCAGCTGTTTGATAGGCCAGGTTCGACCCTTTAGAAAATCAAATACAACATCAAAGAGGAGTTTGACAAGGAGCCATTTAAAACTTGTTCAGTTCCTGTAACCCTGTTCCGCCTTGTGTGACAGTGAAAATAAAGAGATATATTGCACTAATAAATAACTTCAGTGGTAACAGGCTCCAACTGAAGGTTTACAACTGGTTGTAAAGAAGCAAAAGGAAGGCTGACGATCGTTTGGTCATTTTGTTCCTTTGTACCATTTGGTGCAACGCCATAGTTGGCAAAAATGCTGCAGACACTCATATAAATGCACAAAATGAGGAGCAGATGAAAAGGATTTTACAGCTTTAACAAAGTCAAGATGTGGTTTCTGTCTGGGTGTTTGTGATTTTATACATTAAGGGGAGACTTCTTCACCCCATTTATATCAAAGAAGTTAGAATAAATAACAACGCCACAAACTACAACCTCTAAAATGATCACACCGTTGAAAAAACTCCTTTCTATATCAGTTTCTATATCAGTTTGAAATTGGGAAGAAAATACACATTTAAACTGCATTGACCTGTGAGAATTAAGCAGTTACTGTCTGTTTCATGCTATATTAGTTTCAACTTGACTTTTTGGAAAAAAAAAACAGCCTGAATGCTATTTAGCAAATGTTTGCATGCTAACACGCTAAACAAAGACAGTGGACACGTTAAACATTACACCTGCTTCACATCAACATGTTAATATTGTCATTGTGAGCAGCCTGATGTTAGCATTTACTCTAAAACAAACATAGCCTCACAGAGCTGCTGACATGGCTGTAGACAAATCACTGATGAATGGCTGAATAGATGCACTCTTACCACAGAATTTAAACACATGACTGAAAGAATACTGGAGAGAGCGATCAAGATGGAGAGCAAGAAAAAAATGTGAGCAATGCTAAATGGGACAGAGGAAAGAGGAGGAGGATGAGGAGCCACGGGAGGATGGATGAAGGAGGAGAAAGGGGGACAGGGGGAAGACTGAGCTGGGAGGGAGGTCCAGCAGCAGCAGCAGCGGCAGCAGCAGCAGCAGGCTGCAGGAATGTTTCACATGCCTGTCCTCTGGATGACCTCGCCTCCCTGGAGTGTGGGAGATACTGGGAGTAATTAGCCTCCTTTAACATTGGAGCAGTGCTGCCTCTACGCCTCAATGGGGTTAGCAGTGGCATTGAGAGAGATCAAGTGTATTTTTTTTATTTTCTAACAAAATAGAACAAAACCTTCTTCTTTGGCACCACCTGCCTGCTGCACTCCCTCTCTCTTCAGTGGTTCATTTTCAGATGATGCATTAAATTCCTTTTCTATATATTTCTTCTTTGTTTTTTGTTATTAGGGCAGGGAACTTGTTTTCAGTCATTTCCAGCTGATGAATGTTGTAAATTAGTTCCATTATTTTGAAGTGGAACAGATTTCCTTCCCCCCACCCACCAACCCATCTTGCAGCTGACCTACTTTGTCTTCCGGTAGATTTAATTATGGCTCCTCCTAACTGCAAATATTTCTCACTTAAAGTCAAGGATCAAGAATTGAAGTGGACGTGAATGAAGAAAAACAGAGACTAAAAAGTATTGATTTTGTAAAAGGCCACATGGCTCCGATCATGAAATGCCAATACTGGAACATCAGTGTTATCTGCTTTGCTCTGATGTCCTTTATTTAAAACAAACGAGTTTCCCTTTATGGCAAATCCAGACCTAAAAACCTGAATGTTTTCCAGCATACTGATAGTAATGCACTTGTGTAATTTTAATTAAGAATTAAGTATGTATTTTAATGAATTTGTTTTTCATTATCAGATCAGTTGAGAAGAGACAAGACTTTTTCTGGCTAAATTAAAACACACGACACAAAAAAAACAGCTATATATTATTGAAAACCAAGCATTAACATTCAAATAATACTCAACTCAGCATTTAATCCAACAAGAGTGAGCATTTAACTTTAAAAATCCTGCATCAAAATCTGAAGCCAGAGTCAGGTGTGTCACTGACAGTTCAATCAGGCGACTCATAAATTAGTTATACGAGAGCACTGCTCTAAAATCAGCTGGCAAAACCATGAAATGCAACATTTGGACAAAAAATGTCTTATAAATAAATAAATACCTTGCTGAAATAAATATAAATATGGATCATGGGTAATGGATAGTTTGGATGAACTGGTTTGTCTTAAATGTTTAAAACCGTTTTTTTTTAACTGTATTTGATATCATGCATTAAAGGCTTATGATTCCACATTGAACCTTAGATACTTTATGTCATTAAGTAAAATCCTGTAACCTGCTAAATCTCTGTGTAAATTTCTCAGAAAACAAAAACCGATTAGAGGTTGATGATGGGATGATTTTACTATGGTAAGACATATTTATAGCATAGGATTTTTTTAACCTGTAGAGGTACATGTTATCTGTTATCTTGATCTGAAAGCATAAGAAATGATCAATCATGTGTTAGCATGTTAGCATGTATCAACTGTCCTTGTTCACAATGATTATATTTTCCTAGCGATACTTCAGAGTGTTTTGTTTAAGCTGCTTTTACTTAAAAGTTCCACTCATATGTTTGTGTGCTAAATACGGAGCTACAGCAATGAGGCGACTAGCTTAGCATAAAGACCAAAACTGCTGGGAAGCGGCTAACCTGGTACTGTCCAACATTCAACAATATGTCAAACAACAGCTCTGCATATGTGAAACAAAAAACGTATCTAAAACCCTTTCTGGCTCCAGAGGAAGCAGCACACAGGCTGAAGAAAAATGCCTCAAGTGATGTCACAGGAGTCAGTGTCGGCTAATGAAAACAATCAAGTTTAATGCTAGCATCTCGAGGCTACATTAGCCGCTGCTATCACACGATCATTCACACCCGAATCTCCGACTAAGACTGCGTCCACACTTCTACGTTTTCATTTTAAAACGGCGTTTTCAGACGGAAACAATCTCCGTCCAGACTACCACACCTGAAAACGCATACATACCTGCGCAATCGCGTACACTGGGCATGCGCGAGACAGTGTAAACAGGAAGCAGATTGTCTTGTTGCAGTTGATTAGTTGCAACAACAAAAAATACTACGAACGAGGAACAGCAAAGACATTAAATGTAGAATTTAACTCCACACAAGCTGCTGGCAAAAACAACAAGGTCAGTAACGCATGTAATTCGTTATCCGCGCTGCTTTCACCACTTGCAGTCGAGGTAGATGAGACCCAATCAAGAAGCGACTACGTTTTCGTTTCCACAGGTTTCCATTTTTCGCCCGTTCAGACTACAACGAAACCCCCGGAGTTCTCAGACTAAAACGGGGCCAGCAGCGTTTCACAACGGCTCCGAGTCGAGTGGACTGGAGGCAAAAAACGAAGCAAAAGAGATGCGTTTTAAAACGAAAACGTAGCAGTGTGGACATAGCATTTTTGGTGGTCAAATTGCACTGTGGGTAATGTAGGCGTCAGGTTTTTTTTTAAAAGAATGCCTGGGATTCATTTGCGTCAATTCTGACTTTTTTTTTTCAACTGTCAGGAGGTGCAATGCTTATAGAAGAACCATTTTCTGATATGCCACAATTTTAGTTAGTTAAAGATATTAAAGGGCTTCATGCATGAGCTGCAAACGTTTAGTAACAGATGCTGGGTTGCCAAGACGTGGAAAATCCCCCTCCAATGGACTGTTTGACCACTCACCTTTGGAAGGTGTTTTGCTGATGGCTCTTTACAAACCCATTGGCATTTATTACTGGCTTTGTAACATTTATAACTGCAAACTTTAAAACTTATTAGATAGTGCGACATGAGGGACCCTTTTTTTTTACTGATTTACTAACATCCACAACTGCAGACTTGAAGGCTTCCCCAAACTTAAAGCATTAGTAAACATTTATAAACCATAAATTAAAGCTGATAAAGTCTTTATAAAAGTGGTGCCCAAACTTCTGATCTCATTCTCTGCAAAAAAAAAATTTTCCTATAGTGTTGAACCATTCCTTTAATGTGAATTTTAATTGAATTGAATTTAATGTCGGATTGAGGTAGGCTACTTTCAGTGGAGTGAAGGACCTCAGTTACTTGTTTCCACCGCTGATGGTGATGTCAGACAGCGGCTGGGTCATGTGAAGGTCAGTAGCGGAGGAGGTTCACGGAGAGTTCACCCGCATACATTAGGTAACACCACCGGGCGCTGTGACATAACTAGTATGAAGCAGGTTGAGTTGGGACATTCGTCAATAAAGAAGAGATAAGAAGAGGTAGGAGGAGAAGAAGCAGAAGAAGAAGTCTCGGAACAAACTTTGTTATGCCAAACAGCCTCCAGATCTGGATGTGTTGAACCGCTGCGTCTGTACCGGGGGACTGAAGTCTGCTGTCCGCGCGTCAACATGCAAACTGTTTCTGCACGTCTCAGGGAGATATAGGTCTGTCCCTGAGCGCACACGCCTCCTCTGAACGTAACACAGTCATGTTGTAGCGTTAAAACACAATTTGCATCAAGTACAGTTAAACTTCGAGAGAGAGAGAGAGAGAGAGAGACGGAGAGAGAGAGAGAAACCGCCTCATTGTGCAGGATTCCCCATGCGGGCAACATCTCCAGGCGGACATCGCTGAAACCACATCATGTTTGACTATATGGAATTTCAGTCTTTCGGTCCCGGAGAGATCGTGGACTTCTACAGCTCACCCAGTCCCATCTGCATGCTGCAGGAGCAGGAGCAGGATCTGGCAGCCTTCTTCCCCGAGCTGATCGAGTCGGACTGGCAGGAGAGCCGGTGCTCGCAATGTAGGTGGAAACTGCAGACTGATGTTTTAGTTCATGTTTGAATCAGTGATGTTTTGCTTCACAAAAACAGGACAACTCTGCGTTCAGGTCTAACACGAGGGGGAAAAAAAACCCTGTTATTATCTAAAACCAATTAAATTATGTTAAGTCAGGGCAATTTTGTTTCAAAATATTTGGCTCAAAATCAAAACATGAATTTGCCTCAAATGGCTTCATATGTGTGCGGGACACCCTCCACCACAAAAGGTTCTTCATATCTTTGCTAAACTAAATTATAGCTGGTGAATTTACTCACCATTACTTTAACCAATAACCCTGCACCTAGTATTTTCAAGTGGTACTTCATTGTGTGGTGTTTTTTTTAAAATTTTCCAGTAAAAGTCAGGTTGTTTGTTACACTATCACATTGGAATAGAGTTTCCAAACATTAGGCTGCACTGGTGGGTCAAAGGTAGAAATAACATGTACTGCAGATAAGGATGAAGTTTACAGCATTTTGACTTTTCCATTACCTGGTTCAATAAATCAATTTTAATTTGTAAATCACCTTTCATGCAATTTAGTGTAATTCAGAGTGATTTACAGATGACTGACAACCTGATAATAAGACAGTACAAATGAAAACAGTAAAACAATCTGAGATAAAAAATGATGAATAGAATGAAACCAATAGAATAAATAAAGAATATAAAATGAATAATTTTTGATAACAAATAAAATAAAGAAGAGGGTAGAAATCTAAATAAATAATGGCCATAAAGCATCATCAAAAGCCAGGCTAAATAAAAGTAGGTTTTCAGTTTATTAGCTGACAAAAATGCTGTTGTCAGAACATTAAGTGCTTTAAAAACAAGTCAAATAATATTAAAATCAAATATTAAAATACTAACACGAAGCCCATGAAAAGACTTTAAAATATGAGAATCTTCTTGGTTCTGTATCCCCGGCCTCCTGTCACATTTGTTCAGCTAATCGTACTCATATAAAATGGAAATCGAGACTAACTTTTCCACATCCGGTTGGTGAAACTCGTTTCATTCTGGTTTAATTTGAGTTTTCCTCTAATCACGTATTTAAACATTCAATAAATGGTTTATAACACACTATACTGTCCTTGTAAGCAGATATGAACGTTTATGAATGTGTTTGTCAATAACTATACCTCCTCCTGAGTGCATCCATAAGTGGAAGCTGCTTTGTAAACAGTTAATGAATGATGATATAGATAAAAAAAAACAGCTGAAATATGTCATCACATGAGAGATTATAACGCTTGACAAATACTGTACATTAGGAAGAACTTAAAAATGGCCTTATAGCTGCCTATAACTACATTATAGTGTGTTTTAAATCATTAAATGTTTATGAACTGCTTATAAATGCTAAATGAGGCAGTTGAAATGAAGTGTTTTCATTCCACATTCATGAACTGTTCATAGTGGGACATTTTTCATGATGAGTTTCCTCATGCAGGAGCTTTCTTTTGAACAGAGAAGGGATGTGAAGCGCAGCAGAAAACAGGGTGCTGTATCTGAGCGCAGAGTCAGGGTGGTGGTCTGTGTTTGGGACGGGACGGGGCAGGGCCGGTCAGTTTGGGGTCACCGCGGGTTCACCGGACGGTCACCAGCTCAGGAGGTCAGAGGAGAGCCCGACTGTGCCAGTGGTGCAAGAAGTACTCAGATCCTTTTCTTAAGTAAAAGTACCAGCACAGCAAACGTAAAAATACTACTGTTACAAGTAAAAGTCCAACATTCACAACTACATAAGTATTATCAGCAAAATATACTGAAAGTATCACACAATAATAGTTCTGCAGAAAAATGGGCCCTAAAAGTGATATATTATTTGTTATTATTTATAATGTTTATGATAATCGTTGGTTTTAATAGTGGTGGAGTAAAAAATAACAATATTTCACTTTGAAATTTGGTGAACAAGAAGTAGAAATTAGGATAAAATGGGAATACTGAAGTAAAGTTCCTCAAGATCCTATTTTAAAGTAAAGTACTTGAGTAAATGTATTATTTATTATCTCCCAGGCAGGAAAATCTACAATCTAGATTTTTTTTTCTTTTACCCAAGAAGAGATAAAAACAAGTGGATTTTTTTCATCAACAAATTTAATTCATGAATTACGTTTCAGAACATAATATCATAAAAATACACACTGTATTCATGTCATAAATGTCATACATTATTAAAAAAAATAACCCAAAGCTGCGGTATTTAATGAATTAAGCAATTAGTTGATTCAAAGATTAATCAGCAACTATTTTGATAATTAATTAATTGTTTTTCAAGCAAAAATGCAGAAATTTTGCTTGTTGCACTTTCTCAAATGTCAGGATTTGATGTTTTTCTTTGTCATAAATGACATTAAATGAAATGTGTTTGTGTTTTGGGGCATGGATCAGACAAAATAAGACTTCTGAGAACGTCAAATGTTTTGGCCTTTTATAGAACAAAATAAAATGATCGCTAATGCAAATAATTGAATAATTGTTGCAGGCCAAAAATAACTATGGCTACAACTACCGATTATTTTCATTAGTGATTAATCAGCAGACCATTTTTTGATTAATCCGTTAATCTTTTGGTCTATAAAATGTTTTTTAAAAATAGTGAAAAATATGCTACAGCTTATCCCAAAGTCCTTGTTGACATAGTTTTGTCCGACCAACGGCCCAAATCCTAGAGACATCCAGATTATAATGATAAAACAGAGAAAACCAGCAAATCCTCACAGTGGAGAAACTACAACCAGACAGTTTTAAGCATTGTGAGCAAAATGAAACATAACAAATAAAGGAGAAGTGAAGAGAAAAAATTATAAAAGGTTATAACTAGTTAACTAGTAACTCAGTTAAATTTGACATTTATGAAAACAGAAACAAAGGTTTTATTAGGTTGAATTTTGATTTACGGCTGTAGTATTTAGGTTCTCTTTCTTAATACCAGTGTAAGCATAAATAACATTTAGCATCATGTAGCATCTATGAATGAGCTTATACACTTTGTTTCACTTATAAGGTGAGATTTTAGCTTTGGTCTTTTCACTCAGGTCCTTCCTTTGTTGTTCCTTATCTTTCAGCCTGAAAATCCTTTGTTGATTTAAATGTTTGAGTCACACGGTGCATTGTGGCATACATCAAATAACACCACCTAAATTGGGGTTGGGGCTAACCCTCTTTTCCCCCCTTCCCCCGACCGAATCACTTACACCGCCCCACCACACACACTTTCTGTTTCTTCTCCCTCCCGCTCATCAGTCAGTTGGGCTTGTGGCATGCTCCTGCATTGTTTTGCGTTGGGAGAGCGCTTGGGCTGATGGGGGTGTCCTCGTTTGACCCGCCGGTTCCAGGTTCAACCAGAGGCCACGGGTTCAGGGGGATGGAGATGAACAATTTTTCTCGTTTTTGTTCCCTTTTCCAAATGGCTCTCTTCGTTTTCTGTCAGCGTTGGGGCGGTGGATGTGAGCGCTGAGTCGGCGGGAGGCTGAGCGAGCCCCGCAGACGAGAGCAAAACCTCCTCTCTAAAGTGGGTTTTAAGTGGGACGGTTGCCTGCTGGGATTGATGGAGGGAAATGTTACATTTATCGGTATAGATTTACATGAGAGTCCTGAGCACTGAGCCGGACACAGTGACTAAGTAATGCTCTGAGATCATTGCTTGACTTTACTCATTTAAATCTCATAGCAGCTTTGTGAAATTGAACATACGTGGCGTTTAGCAGAGTGCCGTGGCCGCTGTGAGGATGGACACAGTTAGCTTCCTTCACAACTTGAAAATGTAATGTTTTTATATATTTCCACATTTGTTTATGACCATATATCCACATTGTCTTTCTACACATTCATTTTAGAAGTAATGCTGAAAGTCTAAAGCCCCATTAACAGACCCCCAAGATATTGATGTTTTTGACTTCACATGCTTTTGATTAAAGGAGTTATTTTTAAGTTTTGCTATCGCTACATAGCCAACATTAGCATTAGCAGCTGTTTACTTACCAGTTTAGAAGAAATATCGCGAGTTCAGCATCAAACTTCATTCCTTTACTCGTCAAGAGTTGTCTCCAGGGTTGGAGAACAACACCGATGTTAACTCTTGTTTATATCGCGTCTTTCCTTCCGTTAAAGTTAGCACGCTAACAAGCTAGCCTCAGCCTGTCTCGTCACTTTCCGATAGCGACTCACTGCAGCCTCCAATCTGTCCTGAAGACGTGGCGCTGCTCAGAGGACGAATTATAACCTTTTGTCTTGTAAACTCAACCATGGCTGAAGCTCTTGTCAAGCAACAGTCATCACCACCCGCTCCCGACAAGAAACCACGTTCAGCGGCAGATAAAAACTTACAAGTCGCCCCTTTAACACTTATCATGATCAGTTAGTTATGATTCCACTACTTTTTCCTTTTTATGATGTAAACTTGGCGCTCTTGAAAAAGACAGCTCCTGGTTCTCATTGTGTTCTTGGGTAATGAGAGATCAGGAAAGAAGTTGACATTTTGTTGTGCCACAGAGGTAACGGAGTATGTGCTCAGTATATTTCAATCTGCATTTTTTAAAATATATTTCTGCTGTACAAATAGGATTTTCGGCCTCATGCTGCCATTAGAAACAATAGGATGCCCCCCCCATGACAAAATGAGATGATTATAAACCCCCCAACAACCCTGTCACATGTACTGGGGGATGTAAACAGGAAGCATAATACTGCCATGGAGTTAAGTTAGATGTGGGCTACAACTTGAGCCCTGTTTTATTCATTTATTCATTTATTTATTTTACATTTGGGAAAATTTTAAAAGTATGCTGAATTAGCTATTAGCAGCTCATGTTAGCAGTGCATGCATTTATGGATTTAAAGACATGTATCACTGGATTAGTTTGAAACTGAAGAAAATTCTCACATTCTGGAGTTAAAAATGTGTTTTTCTATGATTTGTCAGTGGATTTATGGGCATTTATTTGCAATGTACATCAGAGATAACAACATATTTGGAAAGTGTAAGTTACAGTGGATTTAGAAATATACGTATCATGCCTGTGCTGAATGAGTTATGACTTCAAGGGTTGTGATTTTTGACACGTTGCAGCAGTCAGGCGCTAAGGGTTTTAAAGTTCCTTAATTGCCTTCATGAACTATAAGGTGTGATATTGTGTGTTTGCAGCAGTGGGCAGCCAGAGCTCCAGCTCCAGCTCCAGCTCAGATGATCTCTTCACCAGCCCCCCCTCGCCGCCTCCACCTCCTCGCACTTACAAGCCCTGCTTTGTGTGTCAAGACAAGTCCTCAGGCTACCACTATGGAGTCAGCGCCTGTGAGGGCTGCAAGGTAACGGATCAGGACCGTGGTCTGCTGCACAACATGCAAGCATTTTGTGAATGTGTGCCATGCTGTAAACAGGGGTTGAACCCAGTTACGAAGCTCTCAGGATAAGTAAATATGTTAGTGCATGTTACTGTTTTACAGGATTTCTGTTGCATTAGTCAGTTACTGATTCCTGTGTTTGCCCAGAGGAAACACCAACATCACTGTGTGTGTGTGTGTGTGTGTGTGTGTGTGTGTGTGTGTGTGTGTGTGTGTGTGTGTGTGTGTGTGTGTGTGTGTGTGAGTAATGTGTGCTATAGCCAGTACTACAGTAACAGTGACATCCCTCTAGACAACATAAACACAGGCCTTTTCCTCTTTGAATTCACCTGGTTTATGTAATTCCACAGAGATTTGTGTCTTTGATATCTGTGGGTGTAGGTACATTCATGTTTTCCTCTGTGACACTTTTCTTGGAAACTGATTCGTCTTTGCTATTACTCCACTTACTTTGATTGACAGGCACTTTACTGCTATCAGTAAACTAAATTTACATTTGCATTTACTACTTTTATCCAAAGCGACTTACAAGTGAAGGACAACACTAAAGCTTCAGTGCAGTAAATCTAAGTTGTTGGTGTTTTGTGATGCTTTTAAAAGTTTCTGTACATCAGTAATCTAAATACAAAAGGCCCATGTTTTACTGTGACATGATGATGCACATTAGTCAATATCTCAGGATCTAATTGATGTATTTTGTTCAGACATTCATGAGGAATTCTAATGACTTTGGTGATCTCTTGATCATTCTTTCCACGTCACCAGCAGGTCAAACTTTTCAGTTTCCCGGTGAAATATCTCTATGTGTAACTCGTGGAGTGATGTTATCGAATATTTCTATGCATAATACATTTATACACGATGTTTGGTCATTTTCTATCACATTAGGCAGGATTATTTCCACTACTCTGGCAACTTAAATCATTAATATCTTCTCTCTCCTCCCCTCTCGGGCCTCCGCAGGGCTTCTTCCGCCGCAGCGTGCAGAAAAACATGGTGTACACCTGTCACCGCGACAGAAACTGTATCATCAACAAGATCACCAGGAACCGCTGCCAGTACTGCCGGCTGCAGAGGTGCTTCGCTGTGGGGATGTCGAAGGAGTGTAAGTGTCTGATCCTCTCTGGTTTGGCAGGAGGCCTCGTGGGACTCTTTGCTCTGCCGTGTTGATAATCATGTGGTGTCTGTAACAGCCGAAATTAGACAAGAAAGAGGGAATAATCTGCGCTCACAAAATGTAGTAGATGAGGAGAGACAGTAGAGAGTGGATTGTAGATGTCAGTTTTCAGAGAGAGTGTAAGAGGTGAAGGAAAGGTCAGTGTTATTACTGTGAATCATTGATTCAGGTTTTTCGTTTGTGTTTCTGCAGAACCAGTTGCATGTTTCACAAGTGACTCATGAAACCACAGTGAAACAAATGCACACTTCAACTGTAGAAAGTGCTGCAGTGATGGGCCGATACGAAGCTTTAATGTGCTCTAATACTAGCAAAAAAAACAGGTTTTTCTGTGCTGTACATCTGTTGGTGCGTCACGCTCCTGTGATTAGTGTTGATTTCATTAACGAAAACTATGACTCATGTTCGTCAAGGATCTTTTTATTTCTCTGCGCCGGCGACAGTCAGAGCTGGAGGCATTATGTTTTCGCGTCGTCTGTCGGTCTTTACGTCCGTCCGTTTTCTCGTGAACGCGATATCTCAACGGTGCCTCGACGGAACTTCTTCAAATATGTCACACGCATTCATTTGGACTCGAAGTTGAACTGATTAAAGTTTGGTTTGGACAAAGGTCAAACAGGTTTTAGCCATAACTTAAGACTTCACACAGCAAATATGACAGTATTTCACACAAATGGTTAATATTTTACATGATGCTGGATAAACAGGGCTGTAATCTGAAACTATTCTGGCGGTAATTCTAGTTTATCATGAACAAGAGGAGACGATAAAGAGACAACAGGGACGTCGTCAATGCGAAATATCGTTGGCGAAAAGAGACAAATGTTTAAAAACGAAAAACCTCACAAAAATCTCTCTTTACTTTTGTTGACATAAAAGAGGAGACAAACTACTGTAGTCTCTTTACTTTTCAACGCGGCAGGTTTGTTTCCTGTGCTGTGGGTCCATCTTCGTCTCCATGAGGCTGAGGAAAGGATTAAATGCATCGCTTTATCAGAAGAGAAGCAATGTAGAAAATAAAAGTATAAATATGAAAATGTTCCATGTCTGGATGTAAGCTGACACCATCAGACCAGATACATTCCTCAAAGCTGCATTCTTACTCATTCAGCTTGTGTTTTTCACCAGATTGTGATAAGATAAAATGTGAAATAAGTTTCACATTTTATGAAAAAACATTCCTGTTTGTGGTTGGGCTATATGCACTGAAAGGTTCAATGTAATCTGATGAATAGAAATGTCAACAGTTTTTATCGAACGAAATGTGACTAAAATAGTTATGGTTTCTTTGACTAAGATAAGACTAAAATACTGAGACGTTAGTCAAATGAAACTTGATTAAAAAAATAAAAAATAAAATAGAAGCATGATCGGGTTAGCCAAATAAAATAAAACTAACAACAAAGACTGAATTTAAAAGAATAGCTGACAAAATGAAGACTACAGTCAGTTCGCTTAAATTCTCAGATATCCAGCCAAGAGTGTAACCGCCCCCCCCCAACCCAACCCAACCCAACCCGCAACCCTTGATCTTTTCTCTAAACTCCGCCTGTCCAGCTGCCAAAATCCAGATGACAGAAACTCTGGCTTGATAAAAATGTTGAAGCATTCATCTGAGTGGCCTTTAATTATTTCCCTGCATTCAGAGCAATAAGCTGTCTGCAGACTTTTCTTTGCTCTGGGGCATTTCCTCCCATGCGACAACAAAGCTGCCCTGTCTTCTTTTGGTGGGGGTTATCGGGGCTGAACGCAGCATGACAACAAAAAACTGGAGACATTGTTCAGAGCTGAAGAAAATTCATCCTAGTTCCTGTTTTTCAGCTTTTTTTTTTTTTTTTAGCCGATCTTTTAATAAACGACATTATTAATACTGATGCATCAGCGTGTAAGCAGCTATTTACTGTTATCGCTATAACTACTTTATATACAGATGCACAAATACCTCAAAGTCGTACTTGCCACCACTGCTTTTCAGTAAAGATTGAAATACAGCGTTTTCTATCTATGGATTTATTCTCTGTACGATTTGAAAGTGAGAAGTTCCTGGTGAACTCCAGCAGCACTCGAGCGCCCCGACTGTGCACCACAAACAAAGTCAAACTGTGTAAAACCCAGGAGGGGGGAAGTGACCCAGATAACTGAGTGTGTGTTATGTGGAGGGAGCTGAGGGCAGCGATAGGGCAGCAGTGAAGGATCCACCCAGCCACATGTTCTTGTTGGTGCTCGTCCACCCTCAGACAGACACACATATTACATAAATACATCACATGTAGCAGACAGATGGATGCTATGTAACCGCTCGCTGGCTGCTTCAGTCGGTGTGTAATGTGAGCTCACTCGGAGTGTTTACACAATGAGGACTGGATGTAGGGCACCCAGAGAAGAGGAGGAGGAGGAGGAGGAGGAAGGCAGAGACTGAGGTGTTGCATAATCTCGAGCGCCCCTGACATGTGTGTAGCTGCCTAAGCCAAAGTCAGTGGAGCACAATGTTGACACCGTTACCGAAGCGATTATGAAAGGCTAACCTGGTTAGGCTGCGTTAGCCGGCTTCACGTGCTCCCTGGAGTAGCAGATAATCCGCACAGCTCACTGCCAACTGTTTCCTACCAGAGACAGAGAAATCTGCTGATTGTGAGGTTTGTTGAGTTTGTTATTGTTAACTTTAGATGCTTTAAGAATCTCAATTGAAATGCCCTTCACCTCCGTTGTATGGAGGTTCAGCGACTGATTTCCAAACCTCAATAATAAAACTAAAACATCCCATCACGGCCAAAAATATGTGGAAACCAGTGTGCACACATTTTTATGTGCGTCTGTTTGTCATGGCTGCTCAGGCCGTGTCCCTTTACAAGATTAAACGCTGGACAGATTTATTTTATCCGTCTCTTTGTCATGGGTTTGGACAAGGATGTAGGTCTGTTTTTTATATGCAATATATGGAATATATATATTACAGCTGGAATGACTAGTTAATTAATTGATTAGTTGATTGTCCGAAAAATCATTGGCAACTTAATTATTAATGTCTGTCTGTCTGTCTGTCTGTCTGTCTGTCTGTCTGTCTGTCTGTCTGTCTGTCTGTAGCAATGTCTGTAGCAATGTCTGTAGCAATGTCTCTGTTGTCTGAATTTTGTGGACAAAAATAAGTATCTTGTATTTTCAAAATCAAAGCCTGAGTGTCATGAAAGGCTTGTGAAGCCGTATATACATTTGAAATTCAGGAAAGAATAACATCAAAATCCCAAATATCTTCGGGTACCAGCGTTTGATCTTTTAGAATCCCTTCCAGCTATTTATTTCCTGAACATCTCCTAACTGGCGTCATCCTTCTCCCCCCAGCGGTGAGAAACGACAGGAACAGGAGGAAGGGGAAGAAAGAAGCGGTGAAGATGACGATCATGGAGACGTACGAGCTGACGGCGGAGCTCGGCCTGATAGTGGAGAAGATCTGCAGGGCTCACAGAGAGACCTTCCCCTCCCTTTGCCAGCTGGGAAAATACACCACGGTGAGTCTCGGCATGATGATAATCTGCAGAGAGGGAAAACAACAAAGCTGTCCCAAGTTTCCCAAAACTTGCTGTATTTTACTTATTTTTTAAACATTTCTGTGCAAGGAAAAGTTATTTTTACCCACAATCTGTCACTGTAGAAGCAAAACAAGTTAGGAGTTGCAGAGACGGGATTACTGAGCTCTGACAAGCTCATGGGGAATGCAGGAATGATCTGTAGCAAAGAGGGATCTTTGATTATTATTCAGAGACCGTCTTGTTACTGAAAGGTCAGAGCTTGATGCTCACAGTGGCTCAACACATGGTTATTAAGAAAAAAAAAATCAACTTATTACCAGTTTTCATATAATAGAATTAGTTACAGCTAAACACAAGAAATGTGAATATTTGATAACACTTTCCCAGAAAAAAAACTGAAACTATTGGTTACGTTAGTTAGGATTTAGTTTAAGATTAAAATCCAGAGCTGATCCATTTAAACCCAAGAACATATTTATTTTCCTTTATAACTGGCAACTTTATTCTTCATATAATTAAATTAAATTGTACTGTATTCCTACCTGTGGACAAGTTGCGATCATGATTTACTGGGATCAACTGAACACTGTGGGGGACATCCACTAAGGATTTGTGCCTTAACGGTCCAGTTGTGTTTGTCTGTATTGCACCGAGGATTTGCACATGTAAATGGAAGGAAAGCAAACAAAAAAGAAAAAAGGAAAAGGGAGGATTGAATAGAAGTCTACACAAATACTGTGGCCGCTGCACCTCATTTATCAGTCTGAACCAAAGCCACAGGGAAATCTGTTTTTGTTCATAGTCGTCATTGTTGGTGAAGATGTAAATTCAGACTCAATGCTTTTGTGCTGTTAGAACAACAGGGAGATTTGCGTACTCAACAACAATAAACGCACAAAAAGCACACAGGGTACATTCATGCAAACCGGGACACACATCCATCACAATCAGGGAAATCGGCCCATCCCTTCATGACATAAAAGCAAAAACTTCCCAGTGTAATGCAATACGGTAATCTAACTGGTATATTGAATCGAGGCGTGCCCTTCTCAGACATACATGAATGATTTTCCCCTCACATTTGTGCTTTAACAAGTCAACAGAACTCAGTGACGCCTGAATAATGAGTAACGTCAGGAAATACAGAGGGAATGACAAACAGCTTCTGGACAGACAAAATGAACTTCCAGGTTTGAAATAAGTGGGTGGATACCCATGACTTTTACATTTAATAAGCAAATCTTCAATCATTTTTTCTAGGAGTTTTAGAATAAGATATTTATTTAAGGTTAAAAAGGTTCATTATTGAAGTTTCAAAACGTCTCTGTGCTTAAAATTGATCTTGAAAATCTACTAATTAAAAAGATTAAAAACGTTTTAACTGGATTATGATCAGTTTGGCACCGCAGCTCTATTTCTGTTGTTTAATGTTTGAGAATCAGGTTCTGATCTGCTTTAGTAACATCATGGCTGCCACCAGTGCGGTCAAAGCTCAGTTATAATCATAGTATTCCAGTCTCAATTTGGAAAGTCATGATGACAAATTGTCATGTGGCCTTTTACAGTCAGATTGTGTCTTTTAGCTGCTATAATCAATATTTTTACACAGCAGTCGATCCAATTACTATATTTATGTCAAAGGTGTCGAAAACCATCACACAGCTCTGCAGCTCCTCTCAGCTCTGTGTTTGCCATGTTTGATTTTAGTGTCTTTTAGCTCGTTGTTTTGGTCTCACGGCTGCAGCTTTACTAAGTGAATTTTCCTTCGCGGCGGTGGATGGGGACAGAACAGAGCTAAAAATGGGACGTTGATCCATCAGGTCGACATAAACATGATTCCAAATCAATGATAGTGTTGCTCTGTGTCTGCTAGATGTGGAAAGAGGCGACTGCTTGCTAACTTATCAGTGATATCAATTTTATAAGATGACACTGCTGTGTTTACAGCCTGTTTCAATGGCCCAAAAAAAATCACTAAATGCAGCTGAAAGTGAACATGGCTGCTTTCATTGTTGTCAAAGATTTGAAATGTCTAAACACCATCGTCACAAAAAGAAACAATATGTCTTGATGGTTTATTTATAATCACATCAGGTAATTGACATTCATGATCTTTTTTCTCCTCCGTCCAGAACTCCAGTTCAGACCACAGGATCCAGCTGGACCTCGGGCTGTGGGACAAGTTCAGCGAGCTCGCCACCAAGTGCATCATCAAGGTGGTGGAGTTCGCCAAGCGGGTGCCGGGTTTCACCGGCCTGACCATCGCTGACCAGATCACTCTGCTCAAAGCCGCCTGCCTGGACATCCTGGTGCGTCCATCCTCAAACAAGCTTCTGTTAGCACCTTCAAAAAAGGGAAATATTTGTGATGATGACTGAAATAAGTAACTGAATGACCTGAATTACAAACAAATGCAAACGTACACAGACAGACACGCACACGGCTCCTGCTACGATTCGCACCCTCTGTGGATCTTCAATCAGCCGACTCATGCCAAAGACAAACAGGCAGGCCGACAGAGAGCAGCCCTCAGGGAGAGAGTGTTTCATGTTTGATTCTCCGTCATTTACTGCCAAGTCTGTCCGTCATCGGAGCCCGATGATTTACTCTGACACTCTCTGATAGCAGCAGGGGAGTGCCATGTACGATCACATCATCGCAAGCACTGTCACCTTCTTCTTAACACATTTTTTCCCCCCGATGAGGCATTCTGGGTTTTATTCTTTGCCAAGTTCATGTCGCTCACACTGCCCCTGCAATAACAACACGAGCCCAGTGGGCCGTGCATGCTTCCCTAAATATGTATTACTCATCAGGGACAATGCACAGTAATCAACAACAATTAAGGTGTAAATGAGCCAGAGTTAAGATTGATGTTTTAATCGTCCTGCCTGAAATGTGAGAAGTCTAAAGTATGAGTTAAAGAAAGAATCAGAAACTAGGCTTCTAAGAGGAAAAGAGGTGAGAAGACAAAGGGTGTTCCTGGTGCTTTTGTCCTGAAGCTCCGCCCAGGCTGTCCCTGATTGCTCCATGAGATGCACCTGGCCTGGGGAGGAGGGGTTTAAAAGCTCTGGTGCCAGCATCAGAAGGGGCGGAGGCCTCTATCATGGGGGCTGCTGGTGTTGCTGCCGCTCAGTCTGGGGTTTTTGGTTCTTCTTGTGGTTGTGATGTTTGTGTCTTTCGTAGTCTTAATATAGCGCCCTGGTTGTTTTGCACATTTATGTTAAACACACTCTATGGACTTTGTTGTTTTAGAAGTGTCTTGTGAGTCTAATTTGGGTGGAGTGTTGTGCACCCAAGGGTGTAGCAGGCGCAAAGCTGAATGCAAGTGTCTTTGCTGGATTCAGACCGACGCAGTTTCCTCTCCAGTGCCCACGTTGTTTAAATAGCAGATACACTTGCGCCCATCTGAGGAAGCAGAAGTGCGCTCAACGGGTGTCCACTCTGTCTGCTCCACACAGACAGAGTGGGCACCCGTGAGTGAAAGTGCACTTCAGGTGATCGGATAAGTCAGGTGGAACATTACAATACAATACAGAGCTGTGTGCAGTGCATCTCTACACAATCTAATTCTGTGTGAATTATAAAAGCGATCGGCTGACGTGCAAGCGCTCCTGGCTTTTAAAGGGAACGAGAGACGGCCCTCTGATTGGTTTATTGCATGTTAACCAATGAGACACTCCCATGATTAATTAAGAGACTAAGTACAACCCTTTTGAACTGTGCCGTTAAAATAGCAAAAGTGGTAAAAGCGCTTCAAATAAATAAGAGTCTACTGCCCTGCAAGCAGAAAATAAACACAGGTACTGAGTTCTGCTGGGATATAAAGTGTTGCCTAGCAACATCAGATTTTGGAAAGTGTTTCTTGATAAAGTAATTTTTGTGTGGATCTTGTCTTGTGCATATGAAATCACTTTCTGTACATCGCTTTAGGGCTTTTAATGTGAAATAGATGGAGGAAGTCAGCAACAGGAAACAGGAAGTTATCGTTCTAAAATATTACACTGAACTTATTTTAGACATTGAGAAATTTAGAGTCTCTAATAATATGATGAAGGGTCAGAATTTCATCTGCAATAAAGGTTAAAAAACTTACAAATTATTTCAAAATAAAGTGATTGAGAAAGTGTATAAATGCCGTGGTGAAGATGCAGTATATCCCTCATGTGTGTCGTCGCTCTGTTTCCTCTTTTCATCCAGATCCTGAGGATTTGCACTCGCTACACTCCTGACCAGGACACCATGACCTTCTCCGACGGGTTGACCCTGACCCGCACTCAGATCCACAACGCCGGATTCGGACCGCTGACGGATCAGGTTTTCACTTTTGCCGGGCAGCTGCTGCCTCTGGAGATGGACGACACAGAGAGCGGGCTCCTCAGCGCCATCTGCCTCGTCTCTGGAGGTACGGGAGCTTGGACTCAAGTAAAACCAGAAAAGAAGTGACACATAACCCAACTAGTAAACTCTGTAGTACCACACTCTTGTGGTGTGTTCTGCATTAACTGCGCCAATAACAGCTCCACCGTCTTCGTCTGTCCGAACAGATCGACAGGACCTGGAGGAGCCGTCCAAGGTGGAGGTGCTTCAGGAGCCGCTGCTGGAGGCGCTGAAGATCTACTCCAGAAAAAGGCGACCCAGCATGCCCCTCATGTTCCCCAAGGCCCTCATGAAGATCACTGACCTGCGCAGCATCAGCGCTAAAGGTCAGAAACAAGATTAGCTCAGAGCTCGTCCTTCACACATAATGTTGATGATTTAATATTTAGAATTAATTTGTTCCCGTTGGAAATTAGATTTACGGATGATAGCGTAACCTTTGATCGTTTTGACAACATTTATTTTCTTACAAAATAAAAGCTGAACTAATAAACAATAAAATACACCTTCGCTCAGTTCAGCACACTCAGTGGTTGTGTCTCTACAGCCTGACGTGGTCTGGTGTGACCAGTAGTTTATGATGGCTCGCGGTGACTTATTTACTGTTGTCAAGTCACGTTACTGTTAAGCATTTACCTTTATTGTGTAATCACGATTTCACACTATCAGCATCAACTCTTTATATAACCTGATTCTTATTTTTGTAGTTTTATAGCCATTATCATGATTGACTATAACATTTCACTTCAAATTTCAGGAAGTATTTGAGTAAGTATTCACCCCCCGTAGGAGGAAATCAAACTGTATTTTGCACCAGGCTGTAAACGGGCTGTAAAACCAGGCTGTAAACATGTTTATTTCTGCTGTAAACTTGGACATTTTAACATGAGAGTCTATGGGGATTGACTTGCTTTTTGGAGGCGGCCTCAAGTGGCCATTTGAGGAACTGCGGTTTTTGCACTTGAGCGTTGGCTTGGGAGGAGGTTGCTGCTTGGTTTGGTTTGGTTTTTATTTTGAGTATTTTTCCTTTAATTTGAAAACCTTGCAACTAAGGTCTCGCTGCTGGGAATCGAGCTATGGATGTTGCAGCCATATTGTCTGCTCCCCACCCAACCAGCCACAGTTCGCCCACAAGGCAGCCTTTTCTGATAATCCCCTCATTATCTAATAGAGACATGTGCATGTCCACAGGGGCTGAGAGAGTGGTGACGCTAAAGATGGAGATCCCGGGCTCCATGCCTCCCCTGATCGAGGAGATGCTGGAGGATCTGCAGAACCTGGAGAAACACCAGAAGAAACAGTCGGAGGAGAGCCGAGCGGAGCAAAACACCAGCCAGCACACACGCACCGCCTCCTCGCAGCGCATGAACTCCTCCGCTTCTTTACTCTGAAGCTGCTCAAAGAACATTTCGTCCGTCTTCCCTCCCCAGAGAAACCGCTCGCTACATAAAGTACAGATGCAGTCCAGAGGGTTACTAGTGTCTTACCTCAGTCTTTGGTCGGAGAACTGTCAGTGAGTATTCGCAGATTGATGAAGAAAGATAAAGATGCAGTAATGTCTTAATCAGTCACAGTTTCTTTCTTTTTTTTAACCCTTGGTCGCAGTCACCTCGTAACCATTGAGAATCAATCTCAGCTGTTCTTTACCTGGTTTTTACTGTATTTATATGTGCATGAGATATCACATGGATTAATTTTTTTACCTCATTGAATAACGCCTTTAGCATTAGCGTAGCAACGATAGGCAAACATATTGAATGGACTTTTTTTTTTTTTGGAGCTTTTTACATACGTGAATTTTTTTTTCACTTGTCAAAGTTCTACTGTTTGTACCTGATGTGTCGATGTGTAAAAAGAAAAGGGAAATGTAAATGCATTAACAGAGTTCACAAACTGATGTAGCTGAGATGACGTAGAACACGTCGCATTTAAGTACAACAAATAACCAACAGTATTGTAGTCATCAGTGTTGCTCCGCGGGTGTCAACTCTTTCTGGAGAAGTTGTGCTGGAAATCTGCAGTATGAAATATAAAGAGTTTGGACACTGAATTTAGCTCATACACAACATATTGTAGCTGCAAAGTTTTAACCCCAGAATGTATATTTACATATATTAACAGGGCTGGATATTGTTTGAAATGATACTTTTTTTATACCTTACTTTGAGTACTGTATAAACATGTTTACTATATAAAAAAACTATTTGTTTTTCATTTAAGTCCATTTCTGAAATGCATCTGTGTTTGATGCCTTATCACAGATATAGCTGTAAATGAATTTTGCCTAATTAAATACAATGTATTGTAGAAATATTAATAATAATATCACAAAAAACAGACAATTAAAGCAGACAATATGATTTAAAAAGTAGCTGTATTCACAACTAAGAGAAGAGGCTTATGGGAAATGTGGTCTGAGAGAGTTTAGCAAAGCAGGTGGGTATAATATATTTAAAATATCAAATGACGTTTGTGCCTCAAACATGTGCATTCCATGAAAGAGGAGGGTGTTGTTCATCTACATGTATGAAATCTTCACTGGAGGTGGCGCAGCAGGCGGCCTATGAACTGTAAGAACTCATGTGCCTACTCTAAACGTGCCAACATTTTCCATATCTGTGAATTTTACATATTTTACAAATTTTATCAACCTGGAACAGCAAATGTTAACGCCCCCATTTTCTCCTCCATGTTCCACATGACAAAGTGTGTAGATATCTATGGTCATTTTTCCTGGTGCAGTTATTTGTGATATTAATTAACAGATCACTTTTCACCACATTCCTGTTTTTTGTTTTTTGTTTTTGTTTTTTTTTGTTGCTCTATTAAAAAGTCTTGTGTACTGGTTTAATGTTTTGCTGTTTCATGTTTCCACATTTCCAGGCGTCAGCTGTTATTTCTGAGGTGACGATGCAGTTCCTGTTTCATGTGGTGAGGTCGTGAGGTTGTTTCAGGTCAGCTCCCCTTCTCTCCAAAGAAAGGCTCATACTGCCCCCTGTGGGTCGTTTAAGGCGTTGCACTGCAGCACACTTCACATGCAAATGGCACTCCACTGAGTTGTATCTGTTTAGTGGTAAATGAAGACCAGATTTCACAAGATAAAGAGCTACATTTAAGCCTTTTTCTTTTCACACATGATCAGTGTTTATAGGTTGTTTCTCTCAGCAAACACGAGCCTAGATATGCAGCGTGAGATGACTGGTCAAATGTTAACACATCTGGAGCCTCTGGATGATGTGTGTTACCAGAGAATGTGTGGCTGACACATAACCAAGAGGTGACTCCAGTAAGTTTGAAGTCCCTGAGTCACTCTGACATTAACGCCTGACTCAAGCTCCATGGAATTAAGAAATGCACCGTCTTTGCAGCTGAACCTTCCTCACTCCCAGCGCTGGAAAAGTAGCTAAGTACATTTACTCAACTACAGAACTTAAGTACAATTTTAAGGTATTTATATTTTATGCTACTTTCTACCACACTACAGAGAGTGATATTGTACTTAGTCTAACACATCTAACAGCTGTAGTTATTTAGGAAAGAAGCATATGATAAAATACAATGTATGTCAAAGATTAAACCAGTGATTCTCAACCATTTTGGCTTGTGACTCTAGTGGAGGCCCCTTTAGTTTTTGGCAGTTTCACCAAATAAACATCCTCCCTCTGAACTTCTCACATGGTTTCATTTGAATAACTGTTCGAGGTCCAAAGACGTGAAATTTTCTTAACATTTCACACACAAATAAACATATGAGATATGTGAGAAAAGTCCAAAATGTGAAAAGAGATTTCTCTGCCAGAACGTATTTTCTTCTTTCCTCCACCATTAATCATCTCACAACCCACTCCCCCCATCCAGATTTATCATGTGACCCACTGAAGGAAGCTCGACCCCGAGGTTGGAAACAACAAATTAACTTAAATGTATATAAAGTATTTAAAAATAGCCCCATCTCAACCAGTTCCAACTTTTAAATATTATATATCTTATAATTTAATATACATATGCAATAATAAATCACTCACGGGTCATTTTCCTGTTCACCTCATCTGCTCAACATCAAGCCTGTGCTTTGTGTCCAGCTCACTCAATCTCTCTCTCACTGCGACAAATGGTTACAAGTTTTCTGCTTTAAAAAAGTGTTTATTTAATATATCACTTTAAAATAGTTCACTGTTCTTTATACAGATTATACTGACAGTTCCCTTTTCGATCAAAGTGCACAAGAAAGCTTATTTTCAGCTGCTCTCAGCTCTTCAAAATGAAATGACATACAAAAAAAACAACAGTACACTAACACTAACAATATAACAGTGTTTCAGAGAGCATGTTAATTCAACACAAGTGGAAAAACATTTGACCTTGTATTTACGTCTACTAAAGCTTTAGTCAAACACTGATATGTGTGAGGATTGATGGTGAACTAAGGTGAAGTCTTATCAGCTCTTTGAGAGCGGAGTGAGTGAGGAAACTGGGTCGCAGCCACTTGAATAACACATTCTTAAAACAGTCAAACCGCTGAGTCTGGTCCGGAGCATTTAAAGCACTGCACTCAGACAAACCTGAATAAACAAAAAACAGAAAGCTTCACACGAGCAGAGCTGCTGAAGCCCACTGATTAAAAGCTTTGGACGGTGGTGGCTGTGTGCGTCATGCGGCCCGGAGGCCAGTTTGTTTTAATATGAGAAGCTTGTAACGACTGAAACGCTCACAGGCTTTCAAAATAAACAAGCAATATAACAACAGCGATAATCATATAAAAATCACCTTCAACCTTCATTAAAAGCACATACAAGCATTTTCAGAGCAAGGGTGACAAATTATCTTTGGAAATTAGCACAGTCACATGACATCTGTACAAACAGTCAGCTCCTGAGAACCAGTGAGGAGGAGTGTGCTGACATAAACATGTGGAAACATGTTACTCCAGCCTTGTCACAACAGCAACCTGCCAAATTGTCAACAAGTCAAGTACAAACTAAAACACGTTCTTATTTATGATTTACAGAGGTTTATATGTTAAATTAGTATAAATGATATAATAGGTTTCTGTTAAATAAGTATAAATTATATATAAAGAACATTTAAAAAAGATTAATAATCATTGTGAATTGAAGAACTGAAGATGAATATTGACGGATGGTCACTTCTTGTCTTGGTCATTTCTTTTCACTGTGCCCCTAATGTTAACACAAAACACATAAAAGAGTATAAATACTAAACCACAACAGTTACATTTCATTTAGTGAGTTCATGAAAGGCTTTTTTTCCCACGTGAAAAATTGAGAAACAAATTCTTTCTTTAGAAATTCTACAAGCATCTTTGAGTTTTACCATATCCCACTTAATCCCATTTAATCTCTTTTCCTAATTTTGCAAACTGCCTGTAACAGCTCCTGTCACATTTTAGAAACCGATAACACATGGCAAAGGAAATAAATTAGGGTTAACCCCAAACCTGGCCGTGAACCGACACTGGACTCACTAATTCACAAGAACCTTAAGTGACATACGTCGTCAGAATAACTGACTGTCACGGAAATTGTGACTCACCATGAGTCCAGTGATTATTTTAGGTGTACTGTGTGTTTGTCACTGCAATCAAAGAAGATGTGTTTTATCATCCATCTGTACAAATTCTCAGGTCACCTGCTGTTTGTTGCTTCATAGTAGCTGTTCTCCTCCAGCAGCTCCTCTATGATCCCCTGTGAAGGAACATTTGAACAGGAAATCACCTCAACAGCAGCGGACAGATGTTCAATACGACCATGAAGCAGAAATTAAAGAATTTCCTTCCAATATGATTCTTGTAGAAGAATACAAATACATCGTGTTGAAGCAACTGGTATATTTTATTATTCATTCATGATTCCATAAACGGAAAAAACTTTAAATATGTGTATTTTTATTTAATCATATCATACGTTCTATCTATCTATCTATCTATCTATCTATACACTTGAATGTACAAATCAAATTTAAAAAATCTTTACTATCCTCTCAGAGAAACTGACCTGCATCTGCTGATAGGTAACCCCCTCGTTGAGATTCCCATCACCTGGAAAGTAAAATGAGAATCAGTTTCACTTTCTTGGCATTAAAAAGTTAAACATCTGACAATGAATTTACAATAATTGAGGCCAGGGGGTGCTACTCTCTGCTCGCTGCTTCCTCTGCGGCTGCAGCCAGCCTGATGACAATCTAGTAAATCGCTGTGAGGAATGAACCAGATTACATCGATACTTTGCTTTGAGTTTGCTCCCTTAAGCAGCTTGCAGTGTCTTGTGTGTTGGTGTCTCTTACTGGACGTATAGAGTAAAGCTGTGCTAAGATTACTGTAACTCTACCTGTGGCGTCAGCAGCGAGGGGGTCTCCTGTGATGTGGTGGATCAGAGGCCACCAGTCTGAACTGGTTGAGCCTAGCTCCATCAGTTCTGGAGAGGCCTGGAGGAGCTGCAGGGAACAAGAAGGAGGACTCTCATTTTGCTCGGAGTATGAGATACAAATGAAAATGGCGAGGAGGTGGATAAGCAGACAAACACTGTATAACTTTATCTGATTGTCCATAAATTCGACTGTAATGAAGGTAAACTGTTGTCAAACAGGACTTTTGCATTTTCAGTTCATGGCAGTTGACTCAAGGATAAAATGAACCTCTTGATGAAATTTAACCAGTTCACAAACAGTGAAAGAGTTTACCGCCATGCTAGCAGCCCTGCGACACTGTACTCAGGCACAGTGTAACATTGAGCTAAATGCTAACTTCAGCATGCTAACATTCCCACAATGGGAATGCTAACATGCTAATGTTTGGCAGATATGTTTACTATCATAGTTTAACGTGTTAGCATGCTAACATTTGCTAGTATTAAGTAGCACTCAGCACAAAGTACTGCAGGGAATGTGATTGTTTTGCAGATATTTGGTCCTAAACCAAAGTATTAGTCAAACGAAGATTATAACAGTTCATCCTGAGGTGAACGTGAATATCTGCACCAGATTTCATGGCAATCCATCCAGCAGCTGCCGAGACATTTCACCCTGAATCACAAATATGAACCTCATGATGGCACCGCAGTCATGTCGGTAGGATTCATCCTCTGAGGACCATGAGTGTTTGTACAAGAGTCAGTCATGGCAATCCATCTAAAGGTTGTTGTTGAGATACTTCGGTCTGAATCAAAGTGAGGGGCTGACATTGCCATCCCTAGAGTCAAGCGGCTGGCGTGCCAACAATTACAGGAAGTGAATTATTGTTGCCTCCTCAGTGACCACATGACTTTATTTATGTGGGAGTGCCTGGACACAAATGAAGTCTTTACCTGATGACCCAACCTGACCTAACCTGTGTCTCGCTTGACAGGGTCTTCCTTATCATCACTAAATGTACAAGTGAATTGTAGGTCGACAGTACAAACCTTGCTGAGCTCCACTTTTAGGTTGTATGGATCGCTTCCAAAGTGGAACAGAGATTTTTTAAATCTTTCAATAACCCGTCGTTTGATGTTGTGATGCGGAGCCGGTGGAAGCTGGAGATGAAATTAAGATAATCCACTTTAATAGCGACACATTTACAGTCAGATGCAGCCACTGATGTGAAGCTGGGTCAGCTTTGTCTGACGATAAAAATGAAGAGCCTGTTTGCAGACAGATCACCATGAGCATATCTACTGGTCCAAAGAACGATGAAATCGCTGATAAGGATTTTCTGTGACTGCAGCGTTACACTGAACTCTGATGAGATTTAACAAGATGTATTACAGTACTTGAGTGATGAAGATGATTTTGTGCAGCTGCACGAGGAGCCTCTGGCTGGGATCATCAATCTGTCTAAGCTTCTTCTGGGAGACACAGATCCCTGCTGACACTGAGATAAGATCGAAACCAAACACACTGACTGACGAAGGCTAAACAAACGGGACAGAAACATTTTCTAAGAGACATTTATAACATTCAAACTTTTTGAAATTTGCTTTGTTTTATTCGTGTAGTCTGCTCGTATTCTCATTGTCAAGAGACTTAAAAACAGAGCGGTAGGCATTCGCATCAGGTTGAAAAATTACCTGGTCTTGGTTTTATCTTTGCTGCAGTAAAATCCCCACTGAGAGGAAAGGCAAGCGGAGAAAGGGAGGTCAATAAACAGATGCAGATAAGACTAAACTGTTGGTTTGTATCTGGATAATTGTGCATTTCTTCTCATTACTAGAAGAGAAGAATGCACTACTACATCGGTCCTCCTGACCACACGTGCAGAAATAGGTGATGTGAGGTTTTTCACTTACCTTTGTAGAATCTGATCAGGTGTCACGCAGGTACTGGGCTTCAGTCCTTTCAGTCGAAACAAAAAAGTCAAAAGATCAAATCTTGGTTAATCCAAAACATAGTGAAAAACTTAAACCGTGAGAGAAAATTGAAAATAGTAACTAATAGCTTTAAAACGAGCAGCCGTTTCAAATCCCACACTGCCTCCCCGTGTCTACAAAGAGCAGGTTGACATGTCCGTTAGTTGGTCAAACAAGTGTCTCTGCCAGGGAAAACCGGCGTGCTTGTTATGTGAACATTTAATTAGCAAAAATTTAAAACTGCTGCCCGACATCATGGTGGATATTTTCGCAAGAGACAGAAAACTAACCGTAGTGTTTTCCTACAGAGGCAGTGGTGTTGTTTTTGGTATGCGACGGTTCAACGTCATCATCTGAGGCAGCATCTGAACACACACACACACACACACACATAATTATTTATAACATGTTGTCATTTTCAAATTAAATCTCTCCCAGTCTGTGTTAAATCCTGAACAGTATGAAACAGAGTCACCTTGACAGATTATTCGCCCGCTGTGTTTTGAGGTGCAGGCTGCAGAAGAGTGTGTAGTCGTATATTCAGTTTTCATTAAGGATTTTTCCTGAAAGCAGTGCAGCACACCATTAATTCAAACAAAAGATTATAAAAACATCCTGAAAGCACCTTCACCAAGATATTTAAAGAATCTAAATTACCTGGTTTGAGAGGCAGCAGTTCATCCTGCTTTTGTGCCGCTCCAGGAAGTACCTCTGCGCTCGTTTCCTGTCTCTCTCTGCTCTTCTTTCCAGTGCATTCTGGGAAGTGTAGAGGCCGTCCATCAGCCTCATCATGAGGTCAGAGATCCTGGAGCTGACGGAAACAATGTCCGGCCGCTGGTCTGCGTCTGGACTCAAACACCTGATAGGTCACAGAGCGCTGTATGAACGAGTGATTTTAATATTAAATGACCTTTAACCCAAAACAATGAAAACTGAAGTAATACAATGGATCAAATTTATGACATGGACGATCATTGAAACACTGATAAATTTAGTACATATAATTTAGTATCATAAAGGTTAAGTAGAATCACCCTATGGGTTTGAATCAGTAATAAAAAATCAATAAAAAAATTCTCACCATCTGATCATGTCTGTCACTCTCTCTGAAAAAGCGCCTTCTTCAATCGGTTCATAGACGGCCTCGACGATCTACTAGAGGAAGAGGAAAAGATCAATAACTGACGTGTGTGTGTGTGTGTGTGTGTGTGTGTGTGTGTGTGTGTGTGTGTGTGTGTGTGTGGTCATGTTGCCTTGCTAGCCAGTGACAGCATGTTACTGCTGTAGAACGGAGGCTGTAAAGTGGCCATCTGATAGAGGATACAGCCTAAAGCCCAGATGTCAGCTTTCTCTCCATACGGCTCGCTCTTCACCACCTCTGGACTGAAACACAAAACATAAACATAAACATCTACACTGTCAGTATTTCATATGTGAAAAAAGAATTTATTACGGGAGCTGTGTGTGCCACAAATGATAGAATAACACACACTGTGTCTGAACTGTTGGTGGTTGAGCTGCAGGTTTTGACAAGGAATAAAAAAGACGATATCTCTGTTTTTTAAACTGTCTGCAACAGTTTTATAAGAGTGCAATACCAAATCAGTGGAGTGCTCTTTTAACCCTAAAACCCAGTCTAAATAGTTCTTACTTTCCAAAAATATCTTCAGTCTCAAGGTCAACAACTCAGATTTAGTCATCATGCAGTTCAGGCTTTACTCTAATCTTATTTAAAACGAAGTTAAAACAAAATTTTAATTGTGACAGTTTTTTTTTTATCCCCAAATGGGAGGAGAATCCCCATAATGTGAATACATAGCTCTTGGCAGGACCATAAACACTCCTTTGAGCTGCAGGATACACTGCGTTTAAATTGCTAATAGACTTTGATGACATTAAACAACAACAGCGGTAATTCAGAAGCAGCAGGATGCTCAGAATGAATTTCCTCACCAGGAGTAAAGGATGGTGCCGACCACTGACGTCAGCTTGCTGTTCTCCTGCTTCTGCTTAGCCAGGCCGAAGTCAGCTTCAAGCAGAGCGGAGACACAGGTCATAATTAGACAAGACAGGAAGTGGCGTAGAGCGGACGTGAGGTGTGACGAGCTGTAAACACACACTCACTGATGGTGACTTTGTCCTTCTCCCCCAGCATGATGTTGTTTGGCGTGAGGTCGCGGTGGACTATTCTCTTCTCCTTGTGCAGGTACCTCAATGCCAGGCACATCTGAGGGAGCGTAGAGAAGTTATATCAATTAGTGATTAAGTTATTTATTATAGACTTGGGGATATGTTTCCATTCAGCCTCCTGTGCCAGTGGAAAATATTTACATTCATATTTTAGGCTTTCATCCCAAACTATTGGCAGAGAGCACAGAACTGAAATTCATTAACTAACATTAATATCTTGCAGGACAGTGAACAGGTCTACAGGAAAATGTGGGTACACTTTATTTGGGGCGTCAGTGGCGCCTACCTTTCTTTAATCTCATGTATCCACGCTGCCCTGTCAGACGAGCTCAAGGACTCCCTCAGGAACACAACCTTCACGTTCCGAATTTGTTCTTTTCAATTGATTTTAAACTAGATTTTATTCAACACTAATTATATAAAAGTGGAAAAAGTCACAGAAATCCTAGAGTTGTTGATATTGAGGCTTGAGCTTTTTCCCTCGAAAGGTTTGGTTCTCATTCGTACAGTCACACTTACCATCTTCACACACTCACTCACAGCATTAGGTGTTGAGCTGTTACAGCTGACTCAGGTTGTTGTTGCTTTATTGGCTGTTTTAACAATAACTAAGGATCAGCTTCACATCCATTTGTAATCCCATCTGTCTGCTTTCTTTTTTTCATATACACAAATGTACACCTGTTTTTAAAATAAAACCATAATTCAAATTTGCTGAGCATCTCCACAATCTTTCCTGGAAGTGCACCTGGTTGGGAATCAATGTTTCACTGATGCTTGACTTAGTAGTAAGTGTTAGTAATGTGTCAGTCCCACAACTCCAGGGACAGTTATTTATAAGCGTTTAGTGTCTGGGTTTAAATCTAATCTGGATGAACAGGGTTATGGTTACATCGTCGAGCAAACTGGCAAGTTGAACTTTGTTTGACATCTACTGTTTGTCATGTGACAGCTGCGCGTCAACCTTGGACTATCAAAATAAAAGGCTACTGATCTTTGTCAGACTGTGTCTTGGGAAATCTAAATTTCTATTAAGCCAATACTCTGCCAAGGTTTATTTCAGCAGTTGTTACCTGCATGAATATTTTCCAAATTCTGTCCTCAGTGAACTGCTGCTGCTTCTCCTTCAGGGAGTTAAAATGTTCAGCCAGTGGCACTCCCTCGATCAGCTCCATCACAATGTACAGCTTGTCACCTGAAATGGACAAATACTGGTTTTCACCTTTATAAATTTGTTGTATGTCTTCTCACAATTCGGCTCGACGGCCTAGTGAAAGTACTTATCCTCACCTTCCAAAAACGTCTTGTAATATTTAACAACGTTTGGGTGTGTCATCTGGGGAGGAAGAACCACGCAACACATAAGCAACACAAAATATGGTCTTACTTTTTCACCTGGTATGTTTTTAAATTGACTTTCAATGATCACAATTAAAAAATTGTGCCTGTTCTTTGATGATTGTGAGCTCAGAGATGATTTTCTCCACGTTACTGTCTCTGGACTTCTTGTCTTTGCCAAAGGCCGGGTTGTGCAGGTTCACCTCCTTCAGAGCCAGGAGGTTCTGGCCGCTCTGCTTTTGGACCTGTCATTGAGTAAATTCACTGAAATCAGTGATACTCATGTGAACCACAAAGAAGTATGCAAAGACGCAAAATTGACCCTGCTGACTGCAGATTCTGTCAGTTTTGAGGATGCTCGTCCAACCTTGAAGACACTTCCAAACGCCCCGGTGCCCAGATGGTCCAGGAGGGAGTAACCGCTGATGACTTTAAGGGGAGGTCGGTTCTGGTCCACCGCTTCGATGCTCTCTCTCAGACTGTCCAGTTCCTCTTCCTGCATTAAAAAAAAAACACACAAAACACACTATCATTTTGTGATGTAGAGAATCCTACAAAGTTTTATTCATGATAAAATAAAGCAGTCATATTTCTTTTTATTTTACAGCCAAAAACAGATGAATCCATTTAGAAGCTGTTTTCTTACAGTGTAGAGTGAAACTTTGGTTTGCAGTCCCTCATAGGCTGTGAGGTCCCGCACATAATGGCCAACATCAATAAACAACTCAAAGAGGTCTGTGGGAAAGAGTCTGAAAGGGATAAAAGATTACGTAACACCAGTGGAGAACATTCGATGAAATCTCTTTCCAAAGCAGATATCCAACAGAAGCTAGCTTTAAATTATTTATGCATGACCTGAACTTAAGTTTAGGTTCTTTTTTCTTTCTGGAATATATATTTTTATAAACTTTTTAATCATGCAGCATCACCTCTTGAACAGATGCCTGTTTCTTTCCACACTGAAGAGAAATCGGAGGGTCCGAAATGCATAGCACTGCCAATAAACCAACAGATTTCCAAATAAGTTACTTTCTGGAGGTTATATCTTCATTTATATCATAATATAATTTAATGCTCATACTGCACAAAGCCATATACCTGTAAAGATGTGACCTTTGCTCCAGACTTTGGTGGTAAAATCAGCTTTGCTATAATGTAGATCCCATTTTCCTTTGAAAAGGATGCAAAAATGAATCATGCAATGTTTTATTATATATGGTAATTTTACATCAATATGGACTGTGCACATATTAGAGACTTTCTCTTACCTGCACAATGTGGTGAGCAGATGTGTCATCCAGACTAAGCTCTGTCAAGGCTGTACAACAGGCTGGAAAAGGGATTAGACAGGATATAACTTAATTTAAGAAATAATATGTGTAATTTTAAAGACTCAGACAATCTGAGCAGCTGTGAAGAAAAACAACTCTCTCAAAACCAGAAGACAGAACAAAGACTGGAAACCCTGTTGACTTTGAAATGTAAAATATAAAGCTCTTCTTTAGGTACTAAAAGGGAGAGCTGTGCTGCATTACAAAATGATAATAGCTTTATACCAAAGGGAGTTTTATTTTTACAGTTGTGTCTTCAGATTTCCAGAAACAGAGGATTTACAACCACTTCCTTCCAAAATCATAGATACAAGTCTTGTTTCAGTGGTCTGGATTTTAACTTCAGGAAAAAGATGTTTACATTCTCAGCTGCTGATAAGACTCCTCTGGGGGAAGGATTTTCTTTCTGTGCAGCAGCATTTTTCACTATTTTACATTATGAAAAGCACAAACTTTTACTGGTTGAAGAAGAAACCTTCAAGAAAAAAAAAACTTTCAATGCAATCTATCTTCCCTGACCTGACTGCAGGGCCTTGGCGTTGTCCACCTCCTCCTGTGGGCTGAGCTCCTCTCTGACGTGCTCTCTCTGGATGCGACCGGCAGCGTTGGCGCTGGACAGCGTCTCGATCGAGGCGCGATCGGAGACATACCGCCTGTCACTGTAAGAGTTATTTTGTCTGTCACTGTGATAAATAATTTAAAATACAGCACGTCTTTGTCACTTGTTTTAGGGCCTCAGTACAAAGCTTGTGATGGTCGTGGTCGCTCAACTGTAGCTGCAGTCTACATCATGAGATGTTGAAATGCTGAAATGAAGGGTGATATTGGAGAAGAGTGTGGAAAGCTTTTGTTTTGTTTGTTTCAAAAACAGAGAACAGGCAACAAAGCTAGTTTTGAAGTTAGTTTGTGCTATAGGGCAGTATAAATCTGAACCTTCACTTTATAAATACTCTCTTTGTAAAGAGGTACTCCAGCAACTTAGTATTGAACTCTGGTAAAGTTTTGGGGACTTAAAAGAGACAGATTTCTAAAAGAAAACTGTACAAACCTTATGCTGTAGCCTGAGATTTGCTGACTTTAATGTGGGTCAACCTCTACAATCGCTGGATCCTACATTTCCCATTATGTAACCAACAGCATATTTTCCTTAGACCCTCCCTGCTTGGTAAACACCCATGTCTTTCAAATTCCACACCCAGGTTTGTAATGCACGCCTTCTGCTATAAATTCTTAGTTTCCCAAGCCCAGATCTAAAGAAAGACAGTATCAAGTTGCATTATGGGAAATGTAGGACCCAGTGTTTTGCAGTGTTCTGACTGAAAGTCAGAATATCTCGACCTCTGTTGGTTTGATCTTGATCATTATTTTTTAATCTGTTTCTTGTGACTCCCAAATACCAAAGCATTGGCGTGTCCACAAACATTTCAGTGTGGACAGACTGGATAATGTTTGTAAGAGCAAAAGGTTTTTGTTGAAGCACCTTCTTAGTCAGCAAAAGAGAGGCTGTTTTAACAACTGGAAAGAGAGGATGTAACATAAAACTCAAAAACACCGCAAAGTTTCAACAACCTGTTGAGCAGCCAAAGCAGCTGCTGCACCCCTCCCCAGCTCCGGATCTCTGCCCTGGTGTCGGGATCCTCGCAGAGCTGGACCAGGACCCAGATGAGGCTCCACAGCAGCTTCAGGTGCTGGCCGTGCAGCAGGCTCAGCAGCACGGGCAGCCCCTCCAGCTCCCTCACCTGCTCCCTCACCTGCCGCACCGGGGACAGGAGCCTCAGCAGCTCTGCAGTTATCCTGGAGGAAATATCAGGCTTATATTATGTATGTTATATGAATATTACTTCACATTTTGGGTGATTATAGCAACTTAATGAATTTTTCAGGAGCAATGCTATTTGAATTTTAGCATTTAGACCCCATCTCCACAGCCTCAATCAGTACCATTTCTTAAATTGCTCTATAAAACTAATTTTTACAGACTTGTTTTGTGTTACAGCCCTTAATAACTGTTTTCATCACCATTTTATGAGTCTCGCCTTGCTTCTTTCCATGTTTTATGGCTCTAGTTTATTGGCACTAATGGATGAAGGAAAGTTCCCACAAATAACCACAACAACTTTGACATAACATTTTATCTGACAGCCTGACAATACATCAACAGATAAGTGATTTCTAACCTCTTTGACAGCAGGTCATATTCCTGCAGGATTACAAGAAGGTTCTCCACGATCGGTAGCTTCCCAATCTCCTCCTTGCATTCTGGGCTGCAGGAAATAAATGCTTGCAACAGATGAAATCATAAATGTATTTCATGCATTAAATGAAATATGTGTTTACCTCTCAGCCAAAGTGCTGAGTGCCAGCAGGGCTCCCAGCAGCACACTGCTGTCTGTTGAGGAGAGGAGCTTCACCAGGGTCTAGAAATGTATACTTTATTAGAGCCTGAATCATATGAAGAGGAAATGTAGAGGAATGTGTGGTGATACAAACTGAGCACAGAGATAGTCACCGACCCTCAACTAAGGGTAAATATTTGCACACTGGAAGCAGCGTGTCGCCCACAATATCGAGCACTGGACGGACCAGGCAACAGTACTGACAATGCTACTCTTAGAGCTACGATGGAGCTTAAAATGTGAGGTTTGTCATGTGGGTAAAGCTGCAAGAGGCTGTAAAGTTCTAAAGGATTTATCCCATGAAGAAAATCAACGTCCATGACGAAATTTATTCATCTGTCAGTTAGGTTGAGAGATATCTTCTATGTAAATTTCATATATCGGCATAGTGTATAAAATGGAAAAGGTTCATCCTCTGTGGAACATGAATGTCCCCCTTAAATTGTATACCGACTGCATTAAATCTTAATATTTCCTGTATAATTTTATTCTTAATGTTGACGATAGAGGAAAATTCACAGGGTCACAAAAAATATTATGATTAATTAGCTGGAGATAATGAATATCCACTGCAGATTTAAATGAAATGCAGGCAGGTGATTTTGGGTAAAGTGCTGCATGAACAGAAAGGCTGCCCCAACCATTGCTAAATAAAACATTAAAATACATCAGGACAACAGGAATAAAACACATCTAATAACAATCTTTATACTTTAACATACTTTTAACATACATAATTTGAAAGAAATGAAAATGCCACAAAATGCCTGTTGTAGTCTACATAAACACATTCAATATTACCTATAAAGCATGTAGTGAGTGACCAGTATTAGCTTCATGCACCAACAGGAATGATTTCATGTTTTTGCACATACTCACAGATAACCTTATCAGTACTTATCTTACTTTGTGAGCGCCACTCGCGATGACCCAGGCCCTTTGATTTTCAGCAGCAGACAGCTTCTGAAACATGTCTGCAGAGCAATCAACAAAGCCGGCGTTGATAAGGACAAGACACACAAGACTCAATTTATCAGAGTTGTTCAGTGATATTTCCTTCAGGCGACTCACAGGTCATTGTGACCAGCTTCTGCACGGAAAACGCCTGTTCGCCACAAGATATGTACGCGGCGGTGACAGCCTCCATATACTTGAAAACAAACAGAGCAGGGATGAGGATGTTGACATGAGATATATGTGGATAAATCACAAAATGCAGCCTGTTTAGGCATGTGGAAAAAGATTCTTGAGACTTTACCCTGGCAAGTAAACTGATGCCCTGGAGCTGATGGAGAGTTTTCTAAAAGGGGAAGCAGTTAAAAGAGGCAGTTATTGTTTTGAATCTTTCGCTGCAATAATATAATACATGTGGAAGTATTTATACAATATATAATAATGAATACTAAAATAGCATGCAGAAAGAGAATAGAAAGGATTTATCAAGTTGTACCTGATGGTGAGGATCTCTGATCAATAATCGTAGGCAGATGAGAACCCTGAGGACTGATTCAGGTGCTGCATGGTCAATCCATTCACTATAGGAAGAGAAACTATTGTTAGTGAATTGTGTCACAATGGCAGAATTGATATTTCCGTGACATTTTACCTGCAGAGTCGGTTCTTGACCAAAGACACAAGGATGTCAGAGAAGAGTTTATGCAGTGGGTGGCCACTAAAGCATCTTTGGTCCCTGTATGATATGCTGGGAAATGAATGTATCTATAATCAGGTACAAGGAAGTACAGACTGTATAAATAATGATCCATAATAATGAACGCTCAGCCACCACATCACTAAAAACACAATTCTGTGTGACAGTGCCCTCTTAACAACTTCCAAATGTATTAATACTCTCATAATTTAGAAACCTGTGTTTGGGTTTAGTCAACATTTAACATGTGTGACATATGGCTTCTTTTAAGACACAGAAACTTGAAAGGTAAACCTGAATTTTTCCAGTTCAGATGCTTCACTGTTGATGTCGCTCTCACTCCGGCGTCTGTTGCCGTCTTTTTGATGATGCAGGCCTTGTGATCTGCCGGCTCCACTGCTGCATGCCTTGCTGTGACTCAGCGCAGCCACCTGCATCACAGGGAGTCTCATGCTACAATATATACACAAACCTGAAGAAATATGAGCTGGTTTGTATCGTTATCATAATGTCTAGACACGCTGCCTCAGAATGTTGTCACTTGTTGTTGGTCACCTCTTGTCTGGGGCCAGTTTTGGCAAGCAGGGACTGAAGCCTCCTGAGATCATGAGATGCCCTAGAACACAGGCTTATCAGGTGGTTTGTTTTTGTCATTTCAAGGAAATAAATAAAAAAAATTGTGTAACAAACTATTAAACAGCTTTAAGGAATAGATGACCCAGCTTACTTGCTCTGGATTCCTGTGGACTTCAGAGGTATTTTTTCTCCTTGTCTCACTTTTTTAACTGAGTTGGACATTTTCAGCGATCCCCTTTGTTTCCATGAGTAACCTGTGGTTCAACTTGAGAAGTAGTGGGAGAAGGACTCAGATCTTTAACTTAAAGTAAAATTAGCAATATCAGTGTAAAAATACTCTACAAAATGAAGTCCTCCATTCAAAATTGAGTAAAAGTATAAGTATCAGCATCAAATTATGCTAAAAACACCAAAACTAAAAGTACTCATTATGCAGAACAGTGTGTATTATTGTCATATTATAATTACTGATAAATTTTTAATATTGCAGCTGGCGAAGGTGGAGCTAATTTTAATGATTTTATATAGCCTACAGCTGGATAATGTGTAGTCTTATCCTAACCTTATAACAAATGATAATTTATTTGTTGATTTTTGTGTGTTATTCATTTGATTCTGCAAAGTAAGTAGAGTTATCAGTTAAACGTAGTGTAGTAAAAAGTACATTGTTTCCCTTTGTATTGTAGTGCAGTATAAGTTTAAGTGGCAGAAAATGGTAGTCAAGTGAAATTTAAGTGGGCTACATCACTGTACGGTGGAGTAGGCCTACTTGAATAAATGTATTTAGTTAGTTACTTACTTATTATGTGGCACATAGTGACATTATTTGTCTTACCTAGACATTTAAAAAAAATCCTACTGAAGAAAAATACACAGCTAGCGATAAGAGGGCTAGCTAGATTATTTTTGTTTACCTAAAAAAAACAGCCTGGCCTGGACAATGTTAAGTCTCTTACCCTTTCTCCAGCATCGCAAATTAGCAGTAAACAGCTTGTCTTGGTTGTGAAATACGTGTATTTCTTCTTTAAATATCCCTAGTCGAAGATACAGTTGACATAGTTTGTATTCATGAAACATCAGACGCCCTTACATTGGCAAATAAGAAATTTTTTTACTGAGTTTTTTTGCGTTTTAACCAATACAGGTGAGCAGTATTAGAGAGTCTTGGTTACCATGGCTACAACGGACGCTTTTCGCATTCCGTCACCGGAGTCTTGACACTGACACACACGCACACAAATACACACATACATGCTGTTAATTAACCACCAATAATGTAACATAGCAATGGATCAGAGAATAAGATAAGAACTCTTTGGTAAATTGACTTATTTAATTAGTGCTACGTGAGCAAATTAAGCCTCTTTATTGTTTAATTAAACTGTATGATTGTAGTGACAGAGGGTGGGGGGCGTTATAAGTTTCGCATGTTCCAAAAGAAAAAGGTTGGTCATCGCGAGAACACTTCGGGACTCAAAGGAATTAACACATTATCGCGAGACTAATGTGTGCCTCCCTTTGTGATTCACGTACAGTTTACGTCAGACTTTCGGCGTAGTTTCGTTTCGCACGGAGGGTGTTGCGCGTCTCATAGTGCGTAGCTCAAGCAAAAGCAGTGAGAAGGGGAATGTCGGCTTGTGAATGATCGGTATTTGAGGCGGCAGGGAGCGTCAACGTTATGGGTGAGACTGCTGCCGTTAGCTACTGGAACGACTGATTTTGAAAACCATGTTTTAAACTACAACAGTAATTACTCGTGTTAGCATTGGATTCGCTGTTTGAACTATTTGGCTTTGCCACTATTTAGCTTCTACAGTTGTCTGAGCACCAACGCCCAGGCATCCGCCTCCAGTTGGATGGGTTGCTAACTAGCTAGCTGTTAGCCTCGGCTTCGCTAGCAGGCTGCATAACCTAACGGGAGTGTCATTTCCTGCCTTTAGCTCTTTAGCAAAGTATTTCACAAATTGTTTTTTGTGTGTGTTACGATCTAAAATAATGAGCCACGTTAACACTCTTGCTAGGGTTACGTTCATGTGTTTTTTAAAGCTTTGGTTTTTGCTAATTTAGCGTCGTATGTTGGATTAATCAGCTCTCGTATATGCTAACTTGTTTGAATCTTAGGGGGAAACGACATGTAGCGTTAATGCATGTGAGCTGTAGGGGTTTTCTATTTGGCTTGAAATAAAGTTAAATAGTGTCACATTATGCAGAATACAGACAGTGTTCATTAGCATCACTTTTGCCTGGGAAGACATTTTAAAAATGCTTCTTTCAACGGGGAGAACGACCACTTCCTTGCATCTCTGTGTGTGTCAGAGATGGCAGCTGCATTAGTGTGGGATCAATAAATTGATTAAAATGCAATGATTGGAACATCTAGGTTAGACAATGAAAGCCAAACCAGGAAGCTCTCTCACGGTTAGGTATAAGGAGGGCAACCCTGGCATTTAATCTGGATTATACTTGATCTAGTACCTCAGAGTTCATAATTTTTCAATGATTTTTTAGTTCATTGGTTTCATGCAAGAATGTGAGTTGCATTATAAAATCTGCACAATCAAACTGCATGTTAGTCCTCCACCTGCCCCCACTTCCTTTAGCAGACCTGTCAGCAATCGCCGCAAAGGAAACAGACAGCTGTCGTTTTAAAGTAACAGTTCTCTAAATTCTTTTCAGATTTTTAGATTAAAAAAAGCTGTTATTAAATTAATTATTTATTGTTTGTTAGTAAAACAATTTGCAAAGTTTGACACACATTGATTCACCTACTGATGCTCTAGGATGCTGCTGAGCTTTTTGCTGCACATCCTGTAGGCCAATTAGCATAGATCATAGCTTCACATTGAAGACATGTGGGCTGCTGTTGGTAGGCAGGAGATGCTCCTGTGTACGAGGCAGAAATCCTCTCGTAGCCACAAGCGAAAAGAAAAAGCTGCAACAATGAATGGTCCTTACTTTATGGTGCTACTGACATTAAAGGAGCAAGTGGAGTGGGATATGCACCACACTGGCCAACTGTCTGTGTTGTTACAGTAGTAAAGATCATGAATCATTTTGCCCAAGGCTTCACAGCTTGGGAATCTTATTCTGGAGACAGAATGGTGTGTTTATCAGATGGCCTGAGATTGATTCTCTGTTGCCTTCTTTGTTTTTGTTCTCCCTCCCTTTGCTTTGCCATCCTGGAAATGCTGGCTCTTCCTGCACAATGGAACGGCATCACAATGATCTACACAAAACAGCTGTAAGTAGAGAAATTATCTTTATACTTAAAGTCAGTCATTTTTTTCAACCATTTTATTCAGTGTTCAGCTCTGCATAATTAACTCTTAAGTCAAGAATCTCCAGGATACCAACTGTGTCATGCTTAATTACAGTTAAGAATGTATGTCATGATGCCCTCATCCATTTGATATAATGATGACATCTTTGATTTGAATATTTCACAAAACTGGAATAAGCAGATGCAGAGTGCATATGTGAAGTTGTCAAACAGTGCTGGAAAAATGTTATGTCTAACACTGAATATACGTAAGGTAATTTTTATGAGCAACATTGTGTTTCCCACAGAATTAGATTGTATTTATGGCAGGAGCGGGAGGGGGGCCTCGAGATTGCCTGTCCGACTATGACAGACGGGTCCGTTGTCAGTGTAATTTTGAGACAGAGGCCCTGTTCATGCTGGCATTAACATGCATCTTGGGTGATCCGATCAGAAGTGGACAGCTCTAAGTACGTCAGTTCAGACCTGCCATTAAAATGGGTCTCCACATGTGTCTCGTGACCACTTATGATGGGATCTCGCTTTCCTGCAACACCTACATCATTTCTGTTTACAAAGACCAAATGCAGTGTTGTTTTTAGCCAGTCGGACTATGACAGCCAGGTCCGTTGTCAATGTGTTTGTGAGAGAAAGGGAGAACGAGAGCAGGGAAAGGAGGGGCTCAGCAAATCAATGCACTGCACAGGCACAGATGTACAATGAAATACGTTTTAGCCATTTGAAATAGTAGAAAAATAGAAAATCAATTCAGCGGTCATTGTTGATATTGTAGTGGCTGCCGCAAACATATCACTAATGGGAAACACTGCATTGGGAACATCAAGGTTCAGGTGGTTAGAGGATTGGGAGTGTATTTAAGTTACAGTGGTGTGGGAATGGGTGATATAAACTTTTCTTTTGAGTTTTACATCTAAAGCGGGGTGCAAGATTAAATCTCTTTATGGTTTTGATGTTTGCATTTTTTTTCTGTCTTACAGCAACAAAAGAATCTGGAAGGATATGTTGGCTTTGCAAGCCTCCCCAACCAAGTGTACAGGAAGTCTGTCAAGAGGGGCTTTGAGTTCACCCTGATGGTCGTGGGTAAGAACACATGCTGCTCAGCTCTCTGTTTGCCCTTGTTTTATGTGAATCATGTCATTGTATTCATTGCGGCTGGCATTTTAAAGTCCTTCGTTGTGGTTTCTTGTTGAGAGAGAGAGAGAGATTGTGTGTGTGTGTGTGTGCGCGCAGCTATATTTATACACAAGGGACATGCCCCCAGCTTTGTAGTATTAATTGCTGAGCCAGAGAGGAGGGGACCAATGCATTGCCCTTCTCTGAGTTAATCTTGATGTCAAGTTCTTACCATTGTCTCCTAGAACAGAAACATTTGGGTTGGATTTATCTAGAGCTGCACTCAGTGAATCAAAAATGCAGACATTCTTTCAAAATGCTTGGATGTGGTGGTTGACATCGTGCCAAGATCCTCCTCGGCTGATCAGTCTCTGTTTGGAGGGAAAATGTTTCTTCGGGTCAAAACCATTTCCTGTGGTGGGACGAACAGAATTTGTACCCAGCATGCCTCTAAGAATAGCACATCTCCCGTTGCATTCATAC